ACTCTCCACATGGATTTCCTCGATTGTGAAAGCAGGGTCTTGCTATGATGGCCTCTTAAGGCTCCTTCCAGCTCTCAAATCTGTGAGCCTAATCTATGATGTCTAGTGTCCAGGATGCAGGAAGCAACAGTCCTGCTACCCCCTGCTCAGGTCAGATGACTTCTGGAGTCTTCTATTCTAGATACCAGCTAGATTGGATTCCTTTTTGGCTCCTGTCGTGATTGCTGTCTCTTGTAGCCCCATGCCTTAGCTCACACTATACTGAAATGTCTTCCTTCAGCCTTTTTGCTGTTAAATTCCATCCCAAATGCCATCTCCTTAAAGAAGCCTTCCCTCATCATCCAGCTGACAATAACCTTTCTCCTGAGACTTGCCATGTAATACTCCGAATTATAACTGTGTTAGTGTCATCTCGTCATCAGTTGGGGTAGCATCTTCCCCACATACAATGAGTCTCCTGCACACAATGAGTAATATTTGTTGTAATCAGGTCCAGTTGTAGACACCATATTTTAGGGAGGACATTGAGAAACTGGAGAATGTTCAGAGGAGAATGACCAACACCCATGAAGGGATATAAAACCATGTCAGGTTAGAATCAAGGACTTGTGGAAGAAATAACTAGAAATAGCTAGTTTGGTCTAGAGAGGAGAGAATTTAGGAAGAACATGGTCAGTTTGTAAGTATTTAAAAAGGTGTCAAGTCAAATAGGGATTAAACTTGTTCTGCTTAGTCCCAAAAGGCAGAACTGGAGCACTGGGTGGTCCTATTTACCTTGAGCACAATGAAAGGGATCATGGCTCTTTTCCCCCTTACTCCCCTCCCCACCCACAAGAGGATATTGAAAACAATTTCTTTCTTGTTGAAATGGGTTTCTATGTAGAAGAATTCTTTTGTGAAGCCTTTTGTAAAGTGAAAACCCAGCCTCTAATTTATCTTTTATATTACAGTGGATTTTCCTATACAGGCTGTCCCCAACTAACAAACTTTGTTCCAAAAAGTTTGTTTGTGAGTCAATTGTTTGGAATGTGTAACACATTTTTCCCATGGAAACAATGTTATAAATGATGGTTAGGTTCCCAGGCCAACCCACCAAAGCCTATGGAGCTGCACTATAGTGCTCTTAGTCCAGGGTGCAGATTGGACCCTGAGAGCAGGAGGCCATGTAGTGCAGGATGGGGAAAGAAGAATAGCTCAGCATCTTCTCTGCAGTGATAGTCTCAGAGTGTCATCTGGGACTCTGAGAGGTTAAGTGACTCGCCCAGTGTCACACAATATGTCAGAGGCAGGACTTGAACTGGAGTCTTCCTGACCCAGAAGCCAGCTTACCATCTACTATATGCTGTGACTTAACAACAGAAATGGTCAAGTCATATGCATTCATTTCTATAGCATTAACATTTCTATAGTATGATATTATTTATAAAATGCTTTCCTCATAACACTCCCATGATATAGGTTGTGAAAATAATGTCTCCATTTTGCAGATAAAGAAATTGAGATTCAAAGAGAAGAAATTACTTACCCAACCCCACGTAGAGAGGCAACCATAATGGATGAGGCACTGGATTTAGAGTAAAGAAAATCAATGTTCAAATCTAGTCTCAGATACTTACTAGCTGTGTGATCCTGAGCAAGTGACATAACCTCTCTGTGACTCAGTATCTTCAGCTATAAAATGAAGGGTTTGATGATAATGTTAATAGATTGGTGGCCTCTTAGGCCCCTTATAGTTCTAAATCTATGATGCTGATTTTGTCTTCAGAGTCTGGGTCCTTTTCTCTTCCCACTCTACAAGGATACTTAGTTCTCTTTCTCTCTCTCTCCCTCCTCCCCTTTATTCAGTAGAGAGCCAGTCTTCAGCAAAATTTTGAAATTTTGTGTGTGGTCTTTGGCCACTTCTCATTTCACTTTCTAACCCCCTCCCCAGTTTCCTAGTATTGATCTTTTTGGGTTTCCAGTGCCCTCATCCTTCTCTGAGTCCCCTATTGGAACAGTGCTTGTAGGCCTGCCCTACACTAAAATGTCCCACGTACCAAACTTATTTACCTCTGTTTCCCACATTTAGAGCTTCCATTCATACATTTACTAGTTCTCAAACAGACTTTAGCAGGAAAGAAATGATTGGGCCAATTTACACAAACATGAGTTATAATCCTTTAAACTTTCAGGAGACTCCTCAATTTAAGTGACTCTCTAATAGTAACAGTGTAAAAAGTCTTGTTATTGGATTTTATCTAAGGGAAACATATTCACCAACAAGTTATATGCTGTCTCTGAAATACCATTGGCTCATTGTGAGGCTTATAGCTGGGAAACAGCCACTCTTCCCAACAGCACAGAGCATAGTATAAGCAAGCATCCTAAATTTCCTAACCTACAGTGGGACTGGCCCAGGCTACATTGAGAAAGACCCAACCCTACTCTCTTTCACATGACTCTGGACTGGAATAAATGACATTTGCACTGTATCCAACTGATTTGGTTTGTTGTACTCATTCTGCGTAGTAGGCAAAGGGCCTTGAAGGAGCCTTGGTTGGGGAATAGCTAAACGAGTTGTGGTACATGAATGTAATGGACTGTTACTGTACTGTAAGAAAAGACAAATATGATGAGTACAGAGAAGCATGGGAAGACATAAGAACTGATAAAATAAGCAGGATAAGGAAAATAATACACGCAATGACTAACATGTTGTTCAGTTGTTTCAGTCATGTCTGACTCTTGGTCACTTCATTTGGGGTTTTCTTGGCAAAGATACTGGAGTGGTTTACCATTTCCTTCCCCAGCTCATTTTACAGATGAGGAAACTGAGGCAAACGCTGTTCACTGACTTGCCCAGGGTCACACAGCTAGTATGAAGCCGGATTTGCACCCAGGAAAATGAGTCTTCCTGACTCCAGATCCAGCACTCTATACTTTATGCCACCTAGCTGCCCCACACACAATGACTGAAACAATGTAAATGGAAAGAACACAAAATATAATAATAAAACTTTATGATGTGCAACAAAAATGATCACACTTGTTCCCAGAGAAGAGATGAGAAAATAGATCTCCCTCCTTTCTCTTCAGAGGTAGGGAACTGTGGGTGTGGAACATAGCATAAAATGTCCGACTTGGTTCATGTGCTGGTTAGTTCTACTGATCTTTTTCTTTTTGTGTGTGTGTGACAAGGAATGGCTCTCTGGGTAGAAGAGAAATACATTCAGAAACAAAGCTGATGTAAAAACAAGAGCGATCAATAATTTTCTTTAAAAATGAAGGAGCAACTTTGGGGCAGAGGGGCACATCACTCTCCTGTCCTCTCACAGGGCCCTACTCTAATTCTGGCCCTCTTTTGCTTTCACCTGTACTATTTTAACAGCCTCCTAAATGTTCTTTCTTTTTCTAGTCTTCACTCTTTCCAATCCACCATTAACATCACTGGCCTAAGTAATCTTTGTACAATGCTCAGGTGTCATCACACCATCCTTTATTTAATGATGTCCTTTGCCCATAGGACAAAATACAAATATCTTAGTTGATTGATGGATTGATTGATTACAAAATCTGGCTCTGACCTCTTTTTATAGCTTTACTTGCCAGGAACTGTTCTAGGCGCTGGCAATACAAATACAAAAGGGAAATAGTCCATGCACTCAGGCAGTGTTTATATTCTATAGTGAGTCACCAGTTGATTCATTATTCCCTGATCTCATGGCCCATCTCTGCCTTTCTTTATGCACACAATAATGGAATGGTTTCTGCCCCTCCCCCATTATTCCTCACTTTCAGATCCCAGTTCATATGCCACCTCCACCAAATCCTCACTGATTCCTCCCAGATGTGTTCTCTTCCTTGCAAGTCTCTCATACTCTGGTTGAACCTCTCCCTATGCACATAACAACTTGTGTTATAATTATTTGTGTATTTATCTTATCTCCTCCTCCCTCCCCCATTATAATATCCTTGAAGTCATTTTAGGGGTCCTTTTTCAACCTAGCATAGCTCCCCCTCCCACATAAACATTTAATAAATGTTTGTGGGAATTAATTGAGTTCTGAAGAATAGGAAGTTATTTCTCTAAAGCAGGGGTTCTTAACATGGTATCTCTGAATTTAAAAAAATTTGATAGCTGTATTTCAATAGAATTGTTTCACTGTGTAATCCTATGTATTTTGTTTTATGCATTTAAAAACATTATTCTGAGAAGGGGTCCATAGGCTTCATGTGTGTGAGGAAGAGAAGTCTCAAAATACTCTTTACTTGTGGCTAATCTTACTAATGAGACTTCCTAACTGGTAACAGCTCATGAACTAAGAGCAATTGTAATGAGCTACAGGGCTCTATAAGGCGTCTTTTTTAATTTTCCTCAGAAAGAGAAGTTGGGACCTAACTGTATGGAAAAAGAAAAGAGCAAATATTTTCTAACATTATATCAGAAACTCTGCACCTGAAATAGAGCATAATTAATAGGATTCGTTGAGATTTAAGGTCCTACAGCTTTGTACCAACTCCATGAAGAGATTAGCATTTACTGTAGGCTTCCAAATTATTTCAGGAGTATGGCCCAGAGGAAGGCTAATTGTTTTCAAACACCTTGTAGCTCCCAGTGTTCTGCAATGGGACATTTTTTGATCCTATGAAGTGACTGGAATCTATTGTAGATTAGGATGCTCCCTCATTTCAGGGACAGAACCTTGAAAAGGACTAATCTCTTTTTTTCTAAACTCCTCATGCCTAAAGCAAGTAACTCAAGATTAGATTAGCCTCTACAAATGACTCTAAACAACCCTTTCCCTTCATTTATAAAAAAGAATCAACCTCTTTTGGACCATATGGGACAGTTTTGGGAATCCAGGGGCCTAGGCCACTGAACAGAACAAAATTAGCTGACCTCTAAGGGGACTGGCTTATCCTCTTCCACAGACAAAACAGGGAGGGCCCGAGTTGGGAAAGTCTTTGCAGGAGACAGCCTCTTCCATACCCTTGTGATAATAATTCCTTTTCTGTTGCAGATGATGATGAACATGAATGGATCATACGGACCTGTCGGAAAGGCTGAGATGAGTTTATTGGCCATAAGGCTAAGCTCTGATCAGCCTTACTACTTCTGGGATCAATGGATACAGTTCTTGAGGTTGACTATCTCTCTAGAAGGAAATATTGACAGTTTCATTGTTTGCCTGTTTTAAGTAGAAATAAAGGTCTTTGGGATTCACTACATCTGAGGTATAGAAGGGTCTTGCTTGCAGGGAGATACAGAAGTATTATTGAGGCCAGGTTCTCACTTCCCAAAGATCAGTCCCTTTGTATTTACATTATAATCACAAATGATCACCTCTCTGTTTCAAAATTTAAAACATAGCCATGCTGGATGACCTAACTACAATTCTATAAAACCACTTTTGTCGTATCATATGCATAAAAAAGCAGTGAGGGTATTCTAGATTGAGAGGGGAAAGGTCTGAATTCAAGCACTGGCTGTTTCATTTGCTAATAGTGTGAAATGGGGCATACTACTTAACTTCTCTGATGTTATCCATAACATAGGGATAACAGTATTTTCCTTTTTGGAGTTACTAGGAGGATCTAATGAGATAACTTAAGTAAAAAGTGTCATGAACATGACATCTGTTATCATTATCATTATTCCAGGTCAGTGCACTAGCATTTATTAAGCACCTGTTGGACCATAATGAGACTGGCTGCCTTGGGGTTCTCCAGTCTATGGCCACTGAATAGAATACAATTCACTGGCCTGTAAGGGGACTGGTACATGCTCTTGTGTGCAAGGCACTCTACTAAATGCTAGGTATACAAAAATGAAAAGATGAAACAGTCCTTGCCTTCAAGGAGCTTACATTCGAGTGGAGGTGGGGGGTGGGGAGTGTTCAATACAAAAGTATGGCTTAAAATAGTGTCAGGAATGATAACACTCTGAATGAGTCAAATGGGTTGTCCAAAATTCTATGCAAAGTCCAAGTGGAATAGGGATTCTCTACTAATGATGGGATTCTCTAGATGTTCTTATTTGTGGATAATATAGTGTGAATTGTATTAAGGCCTGGAATACTAAGGGGTCTCCCAAATGAAATCAGTGGCATTCAAAAGAGTTAGTTTAGCCAGCCACCATGGAAAGACAAAATGGATGAGAAATACACATTGCTTAGAAATGATACATAATTGGATCAGTAGTCTATTGGTTTAGTCTATGAATATATGCATATAAAAATTTTTGGACAGGTGCTGCAAATGGATAAAAAAGTCCAAAATTAAATAAAAGTAAAAATTTAGAACAAATCACATTTGGGCAGTTACTTTCAATGATCCATGTGGACATACTCATTAGATTGGCAAAGTTGGCTTGTGGGAAAACAGATACCTTACATGTTATACACTGTCCACTCCAGCCATTCTGGAAAGCAAAGTGGAATTATGCCTCAAAAGCTATTAAACTGAATTATCTCTTAATTAAGTAAGAGTACTACCAAGTCTATACCCCTCAAGGGACAAAGAAAGAGGAAGGTCTCAGACACATAACACTTACTAGCTGTGTGACCTTGGGCAAGTCACTTAACCTTATTGCCTAGCAAAAAAAAAAAAAGAGGAAAAGGATTTATATACACAAAAAATTCTTATAGCAGCTCTTTTCATGGTGGTAAAGAATTAAAAACTGAGAGTGCTCATCAACTGGGGAATAACTGAACAAATTATGGTAGATGAATATGATGGAATACTATTGTGCCATAAGAAATGGTGAAAGGGATGGTTTCAGAAAAATCTGTGAAGACTTTTATGAACTGCTGCAAAGTGAAGTGAGAAGAACTAGGAGAACAGTTTATATGATAACAACAGTATTGTAAAGATAAACATCTTTGAAAAAAATTAGTAATTCCGATCAGCACAATGAACAGATCCAAAAGACTCATGATAAAACATACTATCCACCTCCAGATAGAAAAGAGATGGACTCAGAGTACAGATTGAAGGATATTTTCTTTTGTTTCTTTTCTATCCTTTTCTTTTAGAGATGGGGAGGGAATTTGTTTTGCATGTCTATACATATTTGCAATGGCTTTTGTTCTTGCCTTCTCCATGAGTGGGGGAGGTGGAGGTGGGAGTGAGAGAATTTGAAACCGAAAATGAAATAAAATAATATTGAATTTTTTAAAAATTATCAACGTGGAGTGGTGCAAAGAGTATTGAATTTGGAGTCAGAAAACCTGGGGTAAAATCCTGTCTTTGCTGCTTTCTTCCTGCTTTCTTTCCTGCCAACTTAACTTCTTTCAGACAGAGTTTCCTCATCTGTAAAATGAAGAGGATGGACTAAATGATCTCCAAAGTTTCTTTTTGTTCAAAATCTTAAGCTGCTTGCTGCCACCACAACTCATATTTTTGCCCCTGGGGATTTTTATGAGTGTGAATCATGGAATATCATGATCTCAGAAGAATCAAATCAAGCCAGTGTTAGAAACTCCAAACAAGAATGGGTTCTCAGCAGCATCCTATTTGTAAGAAATTGAAAAGACAGTTTATGGGAAATATCTATGACATAACATTGACTCCTCCTTGCAATGTCAGGCAAAGGTACGTCTCCCAAAACCTTTTTGCCCTGTTTATCCCCCAGAAGGCACCAGATCCAATACTGTATGAAATCCAACCTAGTATTTACAACTATGAGAGTCATAGTGTCCAGACTGAGAAAGGTAACAATCTCAACTGTTTTCAGGTCTAATCAGACCATAACTGAGATATTATGTTTATGAAGAATCAGATACCACATTTTATTACAGAAATTCACATTATAGATACCACATTTTAGGAAGGGCAGTGAAAAACTGGAACAAGTCCAACAGAGGGCAATCAGGAACCAAGAAGACCATGCCTCATGATGATAAGTTGAAGGAGATGGGGTTGGTTAGGTTGTAGAAGAGAAGGCTCTGGTTGAATATTTGTTTTCAAGTATTTGAAAAATGTCATATAGAAGAGAAATTAGTCTTGTTCTGCTTGGACCTAGAGGGTAAAACTAGGAAAAGTGAACGAAACTTGTATTGAGACAGATTTTGAAAGTGGAAACTGGAGGACCATTTGTCTGGGGTGCTATAAAGGAAATGTATGCCTGGGCATGGTATCTTTGAATCAAAGGGGGCTTACAATAGGTCATGGAGTCCATCCCTCTCTCTTTCATTGGATGACTAAGGACAAAGGCTCCACTCCCTTGGTGGGTTCCAGACATGTCCTCTGTTTCTAGTCTATTGGGAGGAAAAGCAAGAGTGGTTGCTTCTAATTGTCTAGGTGGTTCTAATTATCTAGATCCCATTTGGTAACTTCTTTTTCTCCTTGGTCTGTAATTCAGTTTGAATACACTAAACAGTGACTGGACCTGAGCCTGAGCTCAGAGAAGCATTGAGGCAGAAGAGCTTATCCTACCACATCTGCTAGTCTCAATAGTCAACTCCATTCTTCTCAAGTGTAAACTCAGTTTAACTCCCTCTCTCCTGGTCATGGTTTCAAATCATGGAACATAGTGATTGCTGAAGAACTAAAACCTATAAATCACTCAAAGAGCAACAGAAAGATGCAAGGTGGGCACAAATAATATCAAACATATGCCTAACTATGATTTTGTGTGTGAGAAGTTAGGAGCTTTTATTAGCAGAAAAGGAAATGCACCAGTTTTATGGCAATAATAAGACAACAGATAGAAAACTTCAGTGATACATTGGTATTGCCATGATTCTAGCAGAATTGAAGCCCTTTTAGTATTTGGTAAATTGAAGATTTGTAGTAAAGCTTGGAAAATGGTTTAGGATGAAGGCATAGAAAGATTTTAACCTGGATCTTTGATGGATAGAGTAATGCACACCTCAAAACTACATAGTGCCTAAAAGTCTGCACCACATTTTTCTCACAACCCTGTGAGGTAGGTATTACAAATATTATTTTCCCCACTTAAATATAGGCATAGAGAGATGACACAGCTAGCAGATCATGGAGACAGGAGCCAAAGCCAGGTTTCTTGTGATTCCCAGCCCAGCACTCTTTCTACCCTACCCTCCTGCCTCCAGATCATTCTCAGCATTCTAAGTACACTCAACACTCCAAATTTGACGTGGCATCTGCTCTGTCCCCTACAGCAATGGCAGAAAGTGCTAGTTAGTGGTGGTGGGAAACTGCTTTCTTTTTCTTCTTCTTGGAGCTAGGGTAACAGACGGCATTGATTGGGTAATTACACCAAGCAATACCATTGCCAGTTTAATGACCAGTTTGCTAACTGGGAAATTGTAACAATTTACCAGGAATATGTGCTAAGCTCCCTGGCAGCTGGTGATTAACCAAATAATCACACACTGGGACAGGGGCTCCCAAGGCGTGATCTATCCACTAAGAAGCAAGTGGAAAAAATGGAATTACATCATTTTCTTGATGTAAGTGCCAGCACTTCTATTTGCATTAACTTTATTTATTACACAAATAAGACATTTACAAAGCACACAACATTAAAAGTATGTAACAAAACAGACATTGGTTTTACAAAAAAGTGCTTACAATTTTTTTAAATTTTTTATGTTTTTGTTTTTCTTTCATCTTCCCTTTTGTTTTGTATTTAAATAAATATGAGTTTTGACTGCCTGCTGTGTCCAAGGCTGCTCTAACCATAGTAGTGGACATCTGTTGGATCTGCAGCATGCTGGGACCGCATGAGCCACTTTAGGGATACAACTCTGGGGCAAAGTCTTAAGTAGAACTTGTGTCTGTGGTGACTCCTGTACATGGTTCACCCATTGATCTCCCCTGCAAGTTGGGATTGGAGGTTTTAACCATAATGAACAAAAAAAATCACTAGAAAGATTTTGGTAAGCAATTTCTGAATCCACTCCCTTCTTTGAGATCTGGGACCAGCTGTTAAGGTTAAATACTGTTTATGATTCAGAGATCTTCTGATGGGTTCCCCCTCCTCTGCCCTGAGTGTTTCAGAAAATCATTGCCACTTAGAGCTGGGAAGGGCCTTAGAACATAGAATATTAGAGAGGGACCTTAGAATATAGAAGTTTAGATATGGAAGGGATCTTAGAATATAGAATGTTAGAACATGGAACATAGACTATTACAGCTGAAAGGGACTGTAGAATATAGAATGTTAAAAACAGAACATAGAATGTTGGAGTTAAAAGGAACCTTAGGTGGAAAGGATCTTAAGAGGTCATACAAC